CACCCAGCGCCTGCGTGGTCCTTGTTGCTGGCTGGGGCTAAACCCCGACACCCGCGCAGAGCCCAGCGCACACAGGGCACGGAGCGGGGCACAGCCTGGCACAAAACGGGTCACAGAGCTGGACATGGCTGGGGACAGCCAGGGAGGGCAGAAGGGCGCTGGCCGTGTGGGCAGCACTGCCCTGGCTACGCTTTGGGTCCTGCTGTGTCCCGGTCGTGTCCTGCCCGCACAGCCAGCGTCCCTCCTGCCCTGCCTGGCAGCGGGGCAGCCCCGGGGCCCCGCTTCCCCGTTCCCTGTGATTCATTATTTGCTGCAACTGCAGGAGATAAACCAGGACTGATTTTATTTTGCTTGGGCGTAGGCAGTAATGCCCAACCCAGCGCTGGTTCGGAAGCAGAAAACATTCTTTTTTTCATTACGCATAATTAAATTAATAGTACAATCAGCAAACAGCATTACTGTGGAGACACAAAACTCTCCAGAAGCACCCCAAAACTCCGCTCCCTCTTCGTCCCCACAAATGGAATAAAAAGAAGAAAAACAAGCTGGAGAGCATCGAGCAAAGGACACGCTCAGCGTGATAACCGTCCAGTTCCAGCAAATCGCTAATCTGAATTGGCTGAGGTTGATGGAGCCTTTCCTCTTTGCTTTCGCTTCTCATTTAGAGCTGAAGAACTCAGCGTTTTCCCAAGCAATGATTTTGCATTATTCAGGAGTCGTTGCTGTACCAACAAGCCCGAGCTTGAGCCGTGCATTGAACCCTTTTTCCGCCTGTGATCTCCCCCCTTCGCCTACAGTGATATGTGGACACTTTTTTTTTTTCTAATAACAGGGAATTTCTACAATTTGATTTCGCCATTTCCCTGGGGTGAGGTGGGGCTGGCATCTGCGAATCAGCACTGATCAGAAAACGAGTGAGAGAACGGGTAACTTAACACTATAAACGCATTTCCCATTGCATCGTCCCCAAAAAGCTGCTTACATGCTGGGGAAATTGGGGAAAACCATCCTCCCCGGCTGCTGAAGGGCAAAGGCCGGTGGTGGCCACGCTGCTCACACCTTCTTCAGGTCTTCAGGGCCGAAGGAGAGCGGCGGCAGCTCCTCCAGCCTCTTGACGATATAGGTGCCGTCCGCTTTGGTCAGGTAGACGTCCCAGTCCGTGCCGAACTGGAGGAGAAGAGGGAGGAAAAGTGCCTTGATGCAAAACCTGCGCTTCTTTCTCAAATTATTCAAATAATGCTTTTTTTTGGCCGGGTTTGTGATGAGCATCCCTCTCTTCTGCATGTATTTTGGGGCAGCTTTTCAGCATCATCTGCCCTGGTGGGTATTTTGGACTCAGATCCTCTGTTTTTGCCCCTGATGAATCTGGCCTTCAAGCCGAGCCCCGCGACCCATTAAATATTAACCACCCAAAACCAGGCTGTGGGTGCTGGGGTGCCCACGAGGAGGAGGGAGGCGAGAGCAGGACGGGGCTCTGCAGGGAGCTTGTGGGGGCTTTTTGCAGGAAAACCCCCGTTTTCAGGCTTGGCAGAGCTGGGCAAGGGCTCCGGGGCCAAACTCTACACCCAGTGGCTCCTGGGAGGAATAAAACCCCCCTGGGGAGGACGAGTTAATGAATTACCACCGGGCACCCGCTCCTCCGGACAGGGAGGAATGCCCCTTTCCCAGTGGATAGTCTGATTTGAGGAGACCAGAGCCAGCCCTGGGGATGGGGGCTGCAACCTCCCCCTTTGCACCTCTGGGTGTTTTGGGGGAGATGCCTGAGGTTGGGGATGATACCTGGGGTCAGGGGATGTTGCCTGGGGTTGGGGACGATGCCTGGGGTTGGGACAATGCCTGGGGTCAGGGGATGATGCCTGGGGTCGGGGATGATGCCTGGGGTCAGGGGATGATGCCTGGGGTCGGGGATGATA